CAAGCTGCGGGCCGAGATCATCGAGCAGGTCGGGCTCAACCGCGAGCCGACGTACGCCGACTTGAAGAGCATGAAGTACCTGCAGAACGTCATGAACGAGACGCTGCGTCTGTATCCCGTGGTCCCCTTCAACGTGCGCCTGGCGCTCAAGGACACGACGCTGCCCGTCGGCGGCGGACCGGACGGTACCTTGCCGCTGGCCGTGTGCAAGGACACCCCGATCGGATACTCGACGTTGCTGATGCAGCGACGCGAGGACTTGTACCCGCCTGTCTCCGAGAAGTTTGCGCACCCGAACGAGTTCTCGCCTGAGCGGTGGTACCATTGGCAGCCGAAGCCATGGACATACGTCCCCTTCAACGGCGGGCCCAGAATCTGCATCGGGCAGCAGTTTGCGTTGACGGAGATGGGGTACACTCTGTGCAGGCTGTTCCAAAGGTTCGAGCGTGTGGAGAGCTTCATGGACGAGATCGATGGCGGGAAGCCCCTGCTGAAGGCGGAGATTGTGCTTCAGCCTGGCGACGGAGTCAAGGTCGCTTTCTACAAGGGCAAGGACGAGTAGGTTTGGGTAAGATGAATGGAGAGCACGGAATGGGGGCTTCTAGGACGGTCCTCAAGAAGTATTACTTTACCAGGTATAATGAGAAAAGGGCAGATCCAGGATATGATGGGTGAGAGGTTGAAATAAGCGTAGCCTTATCATGGCCGTGAAGCAGAACCCTCGCGCCAAGAGGTCAGCGTGCTTGGCAACCAAACGAACAGGATGGTGTCGTTTGGGTAGCCTGATTGGTATCGCGGGGAGATATGGGAGGCATAATGATTGGCCTACTTTCCATGGGCTGACTGCATATCAGGCGGTCTTACTCGAATGGGTGTTGGGAAGCGTACTGTGATTAGGATGCCTTGGCATTAGTCCGGCGGGAATTTTTCTTGGGGCGGCGCGCACTTCGCGGAGGAACAGCAGCAGAAGAATCGGTCATTGTATAGATACCTGACGAGAGAATGGTCCTTTCGTTGACATTCTCTCTTAATATGCTACCATCTACGTGTCTCATGTTATCCATTCTGACCAACTTTACTGCCGACCGTCACACCCCTGAATCCAGTGTTCGTAACCCGTCCGTACCTATGCAAAACCAAAATGCTCATCTACTCAGCCGTATGCTTTGAAAATCCAACCCTAAATCAAACCGCAAAGTGCAACAAAGAAATAGAACGCTTTAAAGACGGAAGCTCTCCCGGATGGCGGCGCCCAAACGCTGGATAGCCTTGTCCATGTCCTCCTCGCTGGCCGAGGCGAACGTGGCGCGGAAGAAGAGGTCCTTCAACGGCGTGTCCTGCTCGGTGCGGAACCAGGAGCCTCTGGCGCAGAGGACACCCTTGTCGATGCACGAGTCGAAGATCTCCTCCTCGATCTCAAGGAGAGGGCGCGAGGAGACGTCGGGATGACGGGATTGGTCTACCGTAAGCCACAACTACAGATCGGAGTCAGCTTCTTGTTCTCTGCGAATCTTCACACAGAGGCAAGGGAAAAAGAACTCACAAACATGCCGGCGACAGGCGGCGTCCAGCTGACGACGTCCTTTGGCAAGTGCCTCTCGCACGCGGCGAGCAGCCAGTCGCGGCGCTTGGTGTACTCCATGCGCAGGTTCATCAGCCACTGCAGGTAGCCCTCGTGGCCCCACGTATCGTCGAGCAGCTTCCAGACTGCAATCTGCGAGAGGCCCGCGGGGCCCTGGTTCGCGACCTCGGCGTGGCGGATGTAGCGCTCGATGACCTGGGCCGACGCCGTCACCCACCCGAGCCGCGACCCGGGCACGAGGACCTTGGAGAAGGAATCCATGCGCAGCACGCGGCCGTCGGTGTCCATGCTCAGCAGTGACGGGATGAGGGTCTTGAGGAAGTCGTCGACGGACGCCGGGGGAGGGGCCGCGGGGGCGTCGGGGCCGGTGTACGGCTGCATCTGGAGGAAGTAGTACGGCTCGTCCTCGATGATGTAGATGTCGTGCTTCTGGGCGACGGCATAGATGGCCTTGCGGCGGGCGGCGGACTGCGTCGCGCCGGTGGGGTTCTGGCCCGAAGGGACGGTGTAGAGCAGGTGCGGTTTCCTGCGGCCGTCGCGGGCGGCCGGGTCCCAGTTCGTGAGGATCTCGTCCATGGCCTCCGGGAGGAGGCCCTCCGCGTCGATAGGCACGCCGACGGCCTTGACGCCGAGCGGGGCGATGGTCTCGAGGGCGGTGGAGAAGCTGTACTCCTCGGTCAGGACGCTGTCGTTCCGGTCCTTGTCGCAGAACATGCGCAGCGTCTGCTCGAGGGCGCCGGTGCTGCCGACGGTCTGGCAGCACTGCCAGTCGGCGTAGGGCGGGTTGTACACGAGCTCGGTGTGCTCGGTGACGAAGCGCATCATCTGCGCGGAGCCGGTGGACTGGGTGTAGTTGAGCGCGATGGAGAGGTCGTACTCGGCGTCCTTCTCCGGGTCGCGGGTGTCGTACTTGCCGACGGTGAGAACCTGGCCCGAGGAGATGGTCTCCGCCTCGGAGAAGTGCGGGACCGTGGGGACGCGGAGGGAGAGCTCGGCGATGGGGAAGTAGGCGCTCGACGGCAGGCCGCCGCCGAGGGAGATGAGGCCCGGCTTCTTGAGGTGGCGGGCCGCCTGCTTCAGGGAGCAGGGGTGCCGTGATAGAGACTCTGCTGAGAGGTGACCTGGAGAGATTGTGAGTAAGGGGCTCACTGCGGGCAAGGGAGGTGGTGCTCACTATCCCATCTTTTTGATTTGGGTTTGCCCACCGCCTGCGGATAAGGTCAGTATTACGCTTGAATGTGAGATTGGGAAAGGAGGTTTGCCATACAGGTGCCTTGAACATGTCACTATCCGAAGCCGCGGCGACGCCTGCTATCAGCTTGCCGGCCTTGCGCCTCCGTTCCCGGACGCCATCGAAAGGCGAAGGTTCCTGGCGCTTCTCAAAAGTGGCTTGCCTCTCGACCGGGACTGCATCTGCGACTGATCTATCGCCAGATTTCGAGTTGAAAGGCCGTCGAGAGGAGGAGACGTGTGTCACGGGGGCAGCAACAGGGGCCATGCTCCGGAGCCGGAGGTCTGTAAGTTGAGATGACGGGGAGACTGATAAGGGACGTGAGGCCCGTGAAAGGGAGCCATTGAGGCCTCGGCGGGCGGCCCTAGAGTACATGGTGATTTTCAATTTTGAGCAATTGTGTTTATGGAGGTTTTGTAAGTTCCAAGATTTGTTGGCATGTCTCAGAGAATCAATGCCGCGATCAGGAAGGGGGGTGTGACTGTCGTGTGTTATCCGTAGCTGTCGAGATAAAGGAGCATAAGGCGTATCTGACACTCAACAATGAGGGCGGGTGATGACAGTTGGTGGGGCAGCCCGCAGCTACCCGCAGCTACCCATGCCCCCGCATTGTGCTGCTATTCGCCGGTAATTTTTAGGTAATTAGGGGTCCCTGACCGCCGCCTGCCCGCCGTGAGGGGGTTGCTAATTGGGGATGCTTGAGCGCGTGAGAGGTCGAGGAGACCGCTAACTCTGCGGGAAGGATTGAGCGATGGCGGAGGTGGTGGCCGGGGGACGAAGGTGGTCAATGTCCCCGGCTGTTCGGCTCCGGGTGGGCCTTGCTTCACTGAGTGTGCTTGCTCGCCGGGCTCCATCCGGGCCGCTTGTGTCGGCACCCACTCTCCTGAAGCCGATGGCAGGGACAGCCAGATCCGAAGAATGATTGAAATGAGTGGAGGTTGTAAACCTGGAGCAACGTCAACTAACAAGGCGCTAGCGGCCCTGACGTTTGCGCTTGAATTGGCAGCGGTCACAGCTGGAGGTCTGAGATTCTCAGGAGCAGTGATGGCCTTTGAAAACGTGCAACCTCACTTGGCCTCGTCGTCACAAGTCGTGCCGGCTCAGGTTTGCAAATCTCAAAGGTGGCCTGCGGCTGGCTGTCAGGGTCGCAGAACCCAATCCGCCAGCATTTTGATAAAAACCCATCGTATCGTCGGCTCCCGGCACTGTTGATGAACTGTCACCAGTAGCCGCGTGTGCTCTTGTCCAAGACACATCTCCATCGACATACGCACGCGTCATGAATCCCGGACACTGGCACCACCGAGTCGAGACGCAAAGAGGATCTCAGAAGTCGATGGCATCCCTTCGGATCCCCGTCTATTGGAACAGGGCAGGCAGGGCAGGGTCCATCGCACCGAGTCGACGGGTCCAGCGCCAAGGATTTTGCGCGGCCCCAGCCACCCGTCTTCACCAGCCACCCGATTTATGCCACCCATCCAACCAATCACCGTCCCTCCCAACCCCCTCGTCGCAACTTTTCTCCCCCGGGGAGCCAATCCGAGTGAACCAGACAACGAACATGGGCGCAAACAATACCCATCCTCGCGCCCCAAGGGCCCCGAGGAACAAGGCCATTCAAACGGCGGCCTACGTCCTGCCAGAGTGAATAACTGGCCAAGATCTTGATTTTTTCACCCTTCGCGTCCTTCAATCTCGGGCAATCCCACCCCCACCGGCCATGGCACACATATGCTACGTCGACATGGGTTGGGCGCAAAAGCAAAGAGCCTTGCACGGCCCGATGACGCTACTGCACCTGCCAGTGGCTGGACAGATGGTGAAGACCATGTCGCCCATATAACCCATTCACCGCTGCCCGTTCCATCGCGGCATGCACACGTACATGTGCTGCTGCTGCTGCTCCTTTTGCTTTCCCGCCCGTCCATTCGTACCGTACTCTTCACCGTCGTACCGACCGAGTCCGACGTGTCACGGGCTTACACGGATCCTGGCCCGCCTTCCCTGTGACGTCGCCAATTCCTCCTAACGTCTTGGCTGGGCATCCATCCTGTCGGTGGTTCGACTCGAGAGAATCTCTTCAAGTGATAGTGAGGGAGCTTCTTTGTTTCCTTCTTGCCTCGAAGGAAGATTCTCTCCTCGCCGGAAACAGACTCGGTTCTGTGACACCTCACACATATCTACACAATGCTCTTCTTGAGGAGAATAGCAGCTGCTGCCACGGCGCTGCTGGCGACAACATCAGCCCAGACATACTCGTCGTGCAACCCCCTCCAGTCAAGTAGGTCAAGTAGTACCAAAACGCCTCAAAGACCCCGAAATTAACATTTCCCTCAAGCATCATGTCCCGCTGATACGGCCCTGGGCATGGCCATCCACGTCGACTTCACCCAAGGGGCCGTCAACTCCTTCGCCTCGTCCGGAAACCCGACCTACGGCTCCGACGGCGTCACCTTCACGGTCGCCGCCTCCGGACAAGCCCCGCAGCTCATGTCTCTGTTCTACATCATGTTCGGCCGCGTCGAAATCACCCTCAAGGCCGCCACCGGCGCGGGCATCGTCTCCTCGCTCGTCCTGCAGTCCGACACCCTCGACGAGATCGACCTGGAATGGCTCGGCGCGGACCCGACCGAGGTGCAGTCCAACTACTTCGGCAAGGGCGACGTGACGACCTACAACCGCGGCCAGTTCCACAAGACGGACAACAACCAGGAAAAGTTCATCAAGTACGTCATCGACTGGACCTCGGAGCGCATCGTCTTCACCGTCGACGGCACCGTCGTCCGCACCCTCACCGAGGCCGAGGCCGACACGAACCAGTACCCCCAGTCGCCCATGCAGGTCAAGTTCGGCGCGTGGTCCGGCGGCGACCCCGCCAACGCCGCCGGCACCATCGACTGGGCACGCGGCCCGACGGACTTCACCAAGGGTCCCTTCCACATGGTTGTCAAGGACATCTCCATCACGGACTACTCCACCGGCAAGGAGTACAAGTACACCGACACCTCGGGCAACTGGGGCTCCATCCAGGCCGTCGACGGCCAGGTCAACGGGAATCTGAACGGCGCGAGCACCCTCACAATCACCGCCAGCGCCGCCGCCGAGACGGGCTCCTCCCCGACGATCCCCGTTGGCGGTATCGGCGCCGACGCGTCCGCCACGCTGACGCAGACTGGCTGGCCTTGGGTTGCGAGCGCGAGGCCTACGGGCGGTTCGGTCCCTGATGGATGGCGCATGACGTCGGAGGGCAAGATTGTGCCCGACGCCGGTAACTCGGTGCGGCCGCAGCTTATGGTGTTGGCGTCGTTTGTTCTCGGCGTTGTCGCTCTCATTGGGCGGTGATGTTCCTGACACCACCTGCAGGGGGCTCATCGAACATCTGTTTTTTTTTTTTATAATGAACTGTAATGGATACCTACGAACGAGGGCTTGGGAGACATAAATATCTAGAATACGGGCGCAAAAGGCCCAACCAGGGAGGTCGCATATTACGGCGTTTTTGCATCGGGTGGTCACGGGCGAAATGAGATACAACAGAAGGTTGAATGTACATATGATGATAGACGCAGTGTAATATACACAACCAATGAATCAATTGGGGACAAGATTTTTACTCCTTCGAACTCTGCTGTGCAAATACAAGCGTAAGCGAGAGTGTGAGATGGTGGGGCAAAGCGTGAGCTTTCTATTCCACATTTTCCACGGGGTTTTGCATAAGCGGCGTTGTGGCAGAGTGGTCTAATGCGCAAGACTAGAAATCTTGTTCCTTCGGGAGCGTCTGTTCGAATCAGGCCAACGTCGGTTTTGTTTTTGGCTTTTGCAACTACTGGTTCTTGATGTGCATACATATGCCGTAATTTTTGACCTTTTCACCAATGTCAATTTGCTCATTACTGCTCAAAGGTGGCAGCGTTATTATTGCTATGGGCTTAATGCATGCGAGAGTTGTGTTGGCGTTGAGCACTCTCATTTTCCTGCGCTAGAGTGACTGCTTTCCAAAGAGCCCATATACTTTGCTGTCGTCGCTACTTCTGTTGTTGTCCTCAATCGAAGACCAGGCTTAGAATCCTCTACATACACAGGAAACCCCCAAGAAGATCAGACGGTCTCTCTTTGACGATAGAGCCTGAATTTCCAAAGGCTGGTCGCAGAGTCTGGCATCCACATAAGCGAAACTGTGCATTATTGAATTGGTAAGTTTAATTAACTACTGGAGGTAATCTAGCTCGCTGTGGGTGTATCTGGCTCTATAGCAAGAATGAGCGGACGGCGGTCTCCAAGCCACCGTGTCTTGAGCAATGGCTCCGTATAACTCTTGCGGTCGTCTCTCGCTGTATGCATGCGTTGCATCACTGTGCCATCCCTCCGGTATATGCTCTCCTGCCTCCCCGAAAGCCCAACGCCTAAAGAAATCCGTGGCGTCTGTTGCCCTGTTTCGGACTTTTGTGGACTTTGGTGCCCGGTGTCGAAATGCTAAAATGAAATGCTTTTGGTACAAACAAATACAAAAGATTCTGCCTTGGGTGGTTGAGAATTTTCCACTTGAGCGTCGCGGCAGAAAGATCAGAACTCCCAGTCCTCGTCCTCGACAGACTTGATGGCCCAGCTGAACTTCTCACGAAGCGTCTTGGAGAAGAACTTCTCAATGGGCACATCGAACTTCTTGGAGAAGACCACAGTGAGACGAGGGTCAATATAGTTCTGCGCGTTATGTTAGCGATTGAATCTCCCTTCAAGTCGTGCAAACAACTTACGATCTTACTGGTGCTCAAAGCAACCTCCTTGTTGCCGTCGCGGTCGGCAGCTTGGAGCTCCAAGGCCTTGATCCTCTCATCGATCTTCTTAACCTGCTCATCGAGCTTCTCGACTGTAGGACTGCGGCCCTCAGCCTCAACCTTCTTCGACTTGTTCTCCTTCTTGAACTTGGCGGCAAGCTCGTCGGCAGCCTTGAGGCGCTCCTTAAGCTCCTTCTCGGGCAGAGGCTTCTCGCCATCAGCGGCACGCTTCTCGTTGTCCTTCTGAAATTTCTTGGTGATCTTTGTGCGCTGCTCTTCCACCAGGAACTTCTGGTGCTCCAAAACCCACTCATCATCCAGCTCCTCGGGTCGAGCGAAGAAGTCAGCACCCTTCTTCTTCTTAGTCTTGGGCTCGACATCTAGCATCATCAGCTTCGTGCGCCATTGCTGGTAACGAAGACCCTTGATGCGATCGCCAAGCTTCTCCATCTGAGCTTCATGAGCAGCACCAACGGTGCGTTTGTGGTTGCAAAGAATGGCGACCTCACGGTTGCAGTCGTTGTAAAGCTTGACCTTTTCGGGGATCGTCAGGTTCTCGACCTTGAGCTTCTTCAAAAGAGTTGACATGGTGAAGGAGGCGTTGTAGGTACGGAACACCTTCGCTGTGAGACCGGGCATGTAGTTCTTCAGGTGGTTGTTGAGCTGAGTTGTCGTCAGGCGGTCGAAGATGTCGTCGCCGTCAGCCTTGGGGGCCTTCTTGAAGAGCTTGAGGTTCTTGAAGACTTGCTTCTCGACCGTGACCTCATCGTAGAATCGAATACTGTCCTTTCCGAGGAAATCGAAAATAACAGTATTGGGCTCCCGCAGGGTGATGTGCTCGTACTTGAGAGAGCAGCAACCGACGGTCTCGGCCTCATTTTCAGAGTCCTTCTCGTTACCTGCTCTGAGAGCGAACTTGTCGATCAGATAAACGGCCGTAGCCCTCTGACGGTCAGCCATTACCTCGCTCTTCAGGTCTCTGGTGTAGTCTCTGCGAATTCTGTCGATGTGCTTTTTCAGCTCACGAGCCTTCTCGAATTTCTTCATATCGCTCTGGCCCTTGATGGCGCTGGCAGCACCAAGCATGACGTACTTGTACGCGCCGTTGATGTTTTCCTGCCACATAGCCAGCCAGGTGGCCTTGTTGTCGTGAACGACGGCCTTCCATTTGTGGCCCTTGGGAGCTTCTGGGACCTTGGCATCCTTGCCAATATTGATGGTGACCTGCTCGGGATACACTCTCCTCTTGAACTTTCCGGTCTTCGGGTGCTCTCCACGGCCACGGAAAAGACTGGGGGGTTCGACACGGAAGTTTCCAACCTTCTCCTTGCGTCCATCCCATTTGCAGTACATGAAAGGCTCTTCTAATTCGTCCTTCTCGGCCTTCGCAGCCTTCTTTTCCGCAGCAGTTCGGTTTTTCCGAGCCGCACTCTGTTGCTCAGAGTACTGAAACATCGCGTTGAAATCCATCTTGGAGAAGTCCTTGATGTCGACCTTGTTGCCCTGCTTGTCGGTTGCAGGCTTACCGGACTCCTTCAGAACCTGCTTGAAGTCTTCGAAAAAGTTCTTCTGGAAAACCGGGTTCTCGACGTTGTGCTTCGATGAGAGCATGGAGCCGAAATACCAGGCAACCTCCTCGGCTTCGATGGGCAGGTTGACTGGCTTGCCGTCATAGTGCAGCTTGACGTTCTTGGGAAGTGCCTGATATTCGGGTGGGAAAAGAACACCATTGTGTTCAAGAGTCGTCCATTTCTGGCTGTCATCCTCTTTCTTTGGCGCATTCCACCACTCGTACTCCTCTCCCTCCTCGTCCTCGGGTGCCTCACTTTCCTGCTTGGCTTTTGCAGCCGCCTTGCCCTTCGCAGGTGCAGCAGCCTTGCCCTTGGCCGCCGGTTTAGCTGCGGCCTTCTTGCCCTTGGCCGCGATGGGCTCATCGGAGTCGGACTCGGCCTTGATGCCATTGGTCTTCTTAGCGGCACCGTTTGATTGACGCTTCTTCGTGGCTGACTTTGCGAGAGGCTCATCGTCAGACTCATCCTTGATGGCCTTCTTCGGGGTTGCCTTCTTTGTCTTGGACTCGTTGGCACGAATGTTGCGAGCCTCCTTCGCGGCTGCCTTCTCGATATCGGCCTTCTTCTTCGCAAGCTTGGCACCTAGGGGCTGGTCGTCGTCGGATGAGTCTGGCAAGGCTGTCTCCTTGTAGGAAGGAGGCAGGTTCTTGCCTCTTCTTGCCGTGAGAGGTTCATCGTCGGAATCCGAGTCCACGGGCTTCTGCTTTGTCTTTTGTCGCTTGGCCTGAATCTGGTGTCAGCCTCGGACTCCGCCACCTGTTGCCTGCCATGTGTGACCTACCATGGGAACATCGTCGTCGCTTTCTTCGGATTCATCCTTGTAATTGATCTTGGGCAATGACGACCGTGACTTTCGCTTCGATCCGTTGGTGGAAGGGCCATCGACGTCCATCTCGTCGTCGACGGGACCATTTCGAATGGAGAGACCGGGCGGGGCAGCCCTAGCTTTGGATGCGGTGCGATCCATGTCTCTGTCGACGGCTTTTGAGATTTTGGAGGAGGAGACTGTGAACGATGAAGTTAGAAAAAAGGCTAAGGTTTCTCGAGTTGCCGAAGCCGAGTTGGGGGACGCGACGAGTCAGGCTGAGGCTGGCACTGGGCGGGCGACGAGTGAAAAAAAAAGTGACACGTCAAAGGACGGCAAGGCGCGAAGGGTGAGGCGTCCGAAAGCGCAAAAGGACGAGTCTAAATCACTTAGCGCACTTACCTTGTCCTTTGGACCTCGCAAGAGGCATGTCGTCGTCGGAGCTACTCATAGTTAAAGCTCTCGGTTCGCGACGTTTATGGACGGTTAAGTAAGATCTGAATCGCAAAGTCCAAAACCGGGGCCTTGTGGAGCGGAAAAAGTTGTAGAAGCCGATCCGCGCGGGAGAATCGCGTAGATGTAGAGGCAAAAGACGGATGGAATGAATGGCCGCCACGAGCTAAATAAGACGCAGGGGATGGCCCACGTCTGTCAATTGAGGAAGGCGCGGCAGGTCGAGTTTTTCACGAGGGATCGAGGGAAAGAGAGAGACTTGGAGGGTGGGAATGGTTCTACGGCACCTTCCAGCGAGAGTTTTGGAAAACCCGGTAAAAGGAAGGATCTGGTTAGTTGCTTACGACTACCTAGTTAAGTAAGGTATGGGAAAAAGGGAAAGACCGACGATGTGGCTGGGAGATGGAGCGACCGGGACTGGACACCTCCACTTTCAGTCAATCCAATCCAATGTGGCTGAGCGGCGCCAGAGTTTAACCGGCAACCGAACAACTGTGGAGTGGAGAGAGCCGGGTGCGAAGAATGCTCGGGACAGGAAAACTGCTCGAACTACCAATCTCGCATCCCCGACGCACCGCCAGCAACATCAATTGGTCTCGAAAGCGGTCGTGATCAATTGATCTCCACAACGGCAGAGCCTCGATCTCCTTAATCCCCAACATTCACAATGCTTTCCCGGGCGGCGAGACCAGCTCTGCGAGCTGCGGCTGCGGCTCCCTCGCGGTAAGTCGGAATCCACACTTTGTTGAGCTCGGAAAATCGGAGGAAGGGAAACGAAGGGGTTGTGGTTTTTTTGGTTTCGACGACGACCAACCATCGATCGAGGAGGACACGCGGCATCGAAAACGAAACCCTTGCGACCGATACCCCGATTGCGAAAGAACCAAATGGAGAGAGAAAGTTTAATTGCTGATTGCGGTTTCGCTCATCTAGAGTCATGGCCAGCGCGCCCAGCACCGCTGCCACCTTCGCGACCCTGCGTGAGATCGAAGGCCGCCTCAAGTCCATTCGTAACATCGAGAAGATCACCAAGACCATGAAGATCGTCGCCTCCACCAAGCTCAACCGCGCTCAGAGGGCCATGACCGACTCCCGTGTCTACGGATCGACCTCGAACCAGGTCTTCGACTCTGCCGAGACCAAGCCCCTCGAGGGTGACGGCAAGAAGGAGCTCATCATCGTCTGCTCCTCCGACAAGGGTCTCTGCGGTGGTATTCACTCCGGTCTGTCCCGCTACATCCGCCGCGAGTTCCTCGAGAAGGGTGCCACTGCCGACCTTGTCATCCTCGGCGAGAAGTGCAAGTCCCAGCTCCAGCGCACCAACTCCAAGGACATCCAGCTCAGCTTCGCCGGCGTCGGCAAGGACGTCCCCACCTTCGCCGATGCCCAGGCCATCGCCGACCAGGTCGTCCAGCTCGAGGGCGACTACTCCTCCATCAAGATCCTCTACAACAAGTTCCTCAACGCCACGGCGTACGAGCCCACCGTTGTTGAGGCATTTTCCGAGGAGGCCATCCTCTCTTCCCGTATGTCTCCCGACCTCTTGAGACCGTGATGTAATAGCAACCTGACCATCCCCGTAGCCAACTTCTCCGCCTTCGAGGTCGACGAGGAGCTCATCCCCAACCTCCGCGAGTACGCTCTTGCCAACTCCATCTACTGGGCTCTGGCTGAGGGTCACGCCTGCGAGATCTCTGCCCGTCGCAACGCCATGGACGTACGTCATATATCCATCCCCTCATCGCATCCCTGCAGCTCACTGACACTACACACAGAACGCCTCCAAGAACGCCGGTGACATGATCAGCAAGTACCAGATTCTCTTCAACCGTACCCGTCAAGCCGTCATTACCGGAGAGCTGGTCGAGATTATCACTGGTGCCACTGCCTCCGCGGACATGTAAACTGTTGGAAGCGAAAAAAACATCAGATAGAGATGATTCCTACCTCTCTTCCCTTTGTATCAAGCTACCTAGGGCGGCTATTGCCCTCGTCAGTGTAACAAATCCTCGCGAATACATCCTGATCTAGAACATGGATGGGAATTCTTTCACCTGCTGTTTCAAAATATTTCACGCCCCGTTTCACGATCGTGCTCATGATGCAGTTGATTGCTATGTACGACGGAGGAATAATTTACAAGGGCTAATTACTATTGTATGATCAACCCCGTCTCATCGATGCGGAGTAAGCCAAAGTGAGGACACGGGGTATGCATGATTTCCCTCTCAACGCCGCGATAACCACGAACCCTAGGATGCATGCTGCCATGCACCCTTTTCGCAAGAAAACAGAAAACAAAAAAGCACCGTAGCCCGCCCGAGCAGTTCGCCTCTAGCACCTGAGCCTGTCCCATGCTTTCACAGTGAAATACACAGGCCAATGCGCCAGCTCCGCAATCAGAACTCCATATCGCTGCCGTCACTTTCGGCATAGCTGACATGCTTGGTCCGGCGATACTTATTCGCGCTTCCCTCTCGGTTGGACTCATCTCCATTGGCCTGGTGCAAGGGTACGAAAGGGTGCTCCACCTGATATGTCTTCTCGTGCTCGACGTAGTCCTTTTCCCACTGCGCCGACTTCTCCTCGTATACTTTAACAGCGTCCGCATATTCCGCCTTCATTTCAGTAGCTTTATCCTCAAATGGCTTTCTCTCCTCAAGGGGAGTAGCCTTCCACATCTTGGAAGTCATGGTCCGCACCTCATTCGGAGCAGCCTTCTTCTTGTGGGATCGCTCGGCATCGCACTTTTGCCGCGCAATCTCGAATATGGCTTTGCTAAAGAGCACATAAGCGTTCGCCGCCGCTTTGCGGGGTTGCTCGGGTCGTTCGCCAATCTGAGACCTGATGTACTCCCAGGTGGCGAGCTCGTAGGCTTCTCTATGGGCTTCTTCGGGGTCCTTGGGCCTCTCCATCTCCTTTCGTTTGTTCGAGATGCTTTCCTTGGAAAGAACCAAGGGCGTTGGCACTTCAATTGGCCCAAGCATCGACTCCAGGGCCTCGGACGCGGCTCGCAAACCGGACAGGTAGGCTCCATGAACAGTAGCTGGATGTGTTCCTATCGTGTGCTCTCCAGCGAAGAACAAGTTGCCAATTGGACGAGCCATGGCGTCGTAATCTCCGGGTTGCATATCCGGGCCTGCTGAGGAGTAGCTTCCTCTGGCAAACCTATCCGCTGACCACCTTGTAACAATGGCTTCAACTGGGTGAGGCACCTTGGCACCAAAGATGCTCCGCAGAACTCCCGTCGCCTCAGCAATGAGGTTGTCATTACTGTTGTATTGAGTGTCAAAGCCAGCCTCGCCCGCCATCAACGCCACGAGACAAGGAAGGCCCGTTGTCTGGGTCACGTTGAACCACTGGAACATGCGTCCACGTTGTGAGTTGTAGTCGCGCTGATTAACGCTGTGACGGTTCGTTGCATCCCGCAAAACGCCAAAGATGTGTCTCTGAGTATCCCAGAATGGTTCTTCGTAAACCAAGACCACTTTGTTTAACACGCCGTACCCAATGCGATTGATGGCTTCGCTCTTCCATTCTGGCAACGGCGGTTCAAAGGTGACGTTGCCCTGCTTCAGAACACCCAAAGGTATAGTCGAGATAACGTAGTCAGCCTCCACGGTTTCTCCGTCTTCGCAGTGAACAGTCGCGCGACCGTTCTCTTCAAGGCTGTAGACAATCTTGTCAACAGGCGACTTAGTTCGAACGTCCAGAGGCGTAGGACAATGCAGCAAGCCACGGGGAACGCTCTGATACCCGCCGATGATCATCGTGTGGTCGCCTTCAAACTCATTACCAGCATCAATGTCCCAGCCACCCAGACTGAGATGGTACATGTCCGTAGCATTGCTGTATTCGAGGTTGGCGACATGCCAATTAAGCAAGCGGTGGTCCTGTGACGTCAAATCAATGATGTTGCGATACTGAACAACAGCTTCGTCAAATATTGTGCCAAGCGTCGCGTCGGGCATGCGAGTAGCTTTGCCGAGATCGATATTGGCCTCATTGGATAACCCGTTCTTGAGCGTCCACCCCATGGCCTTTGCCTTCTCGCCTGCTTTGAGGATCCCCGGCGTTCCAGGCTGGGTATGGACGCGCCCAGTCAGCTTATCAGAGGATACGGGCACCATGTTGACTCTCTCGGGCACATTCTGCTGAGACACGGGAGGGGCGTGTGGAAGAGCCGCAGCTTCTTCCTCAGCTTGAGCGATTGTCCTGTGTCCATCACTGTTGGCATCCCGCCCCTCATTGACTGCGTCCCGGTTGCCCTCGATGCGTTTTGAGGGTTGCGTTTTCCATTTGAACTCGCTTACGCGGTCTAGACAGTCATTGTACAGCTCCTCAACTAGAGTATCCCTCGTATGGTCTACGGGCTTGCCGTTCGAGTCGTAGATGGTTGTCGCTGATCGCAAGGCACGGTAAGGCAGGCTTAGTTGGCCGCGTACAAGAATGTTCATTGGATTGCCACGGTGGAATCCTGTGATGATCATACCGCCCATCTCAGCAGTATGTCTCTTGTCCACGAAATCAGGAAGCGGAGTCTTCGGCTTCGACTTGAACTCCCTCGAATAGACTCTCCCACCAATACGGCCGCGACCTTCGAGGACGATGATTTCTGGAGGGGCTTCTCCCAAGGTACCAAATTGTTCCGAATACTGTTGGACGAGGCCATCCAGATGCCTTGCGCACCCTAAGCCTGACATGCCAGCCCCAATTACGACTATTCTCCTTCTCTTCGGGCGATTTTCTGCGTCAGTCATTTGCTCATCGTCTTTTTTCGTCTCCGGGAACTCTACACATCCGAAGTTGATGTAGCCTCGTCGCAAAAGCCAGTCGTAACAGACGCTTGCCGCGTTAAACCATCGGGCGCTAGCGCATCCAACTGCCTCGTTCCTCGTTACTGCAACCCGTGGGTTACTGTACCATAGTCGGAGGATGCCGTTTCTGATGTTGAGGTATGTTGTCACTTGGACGTGACTAATATGTTGCCGCAGCATCTGATATTCCTCCTCATGCAGAGCGTAGGGGTTTAGCCGTGAGGATTCAGCTGCCTCGATGCATAAGGTCGCATATTCATAGGCTGAGAGATTTGATGGGACAGACGATCTTGGTTTGACATCGAACGACCGTCGCGGTGTTTCCCGAACAGGAGGGGTTTCGATCTCTGTCGATGGTAGAGATTGTTCTGGAGGCCCGTCGAGGTCTACTGGGGTTGTTGCCTTACTAGAAACGGACGGTGGCGCCGACGATAGCTCTGACTGCCTATCCGAGAGATTCTCTGTCGGCGACTCGAACGACTCATGAGGGACGTCGGGTAGTTGTAATTGATGGGTATCTGACGTGGCATCATCTTCCATTGGTGTCCTGTCTCTACATCAGCGACCCGGCGCTTGGCTCAGACCACGCACCGCTAAGCATGTCGGTCAAGAAGGAGAACAAAGATCCACCTACTCATGATTGGACTCAAACGTAGGCGAGGGCTCTGCCTCGTCTTGGCTCGGGTCATCGAGGTCCATGTCTTCCGTCCAGACCACGATTTCTGGGGCAATTTCTGACACGGCCTCTGAAGATAGACGACTTGATGAAGACGAAGTTGAGTCTGAAAGGTTCTTTGCCGAGATACGATCTAAGGGAGCATTGGCCCTTGAAGGCGGCAAGTCTGATATGTGTGAGTCCTGGCTCGAGAAAGCCATCAATGATCCCTTTCCAAATCCAGATTCCTGCTTAACACGAGGTCGCAAACTTGTTCTCATGTTTCGATCGTCGACTCGTACTGGATTCGGGGATGAGGAGTTGATATATATGAATGGAGGCGAGTCGTCAGCGATGAGAAATTGCTCGCTCGGCCTGTGGTCCCGTTCGGGGTTGATGTGACAGTTTAGTTCTAAGTCGACACCATGATACGGTCTCTCAGGTGCACCTGGATAGTCGTTCTAATTGAAAATTGTTAGCTGATTTGAGTTCTCATACCTACCAGCAGCCGATATAAGAGGAGACAATATCTGAGGTACCGACCTTGACTGCGGAGACGCCACCACCCCGGCCGCACTGTCCCTGATGTTGAATTGAATCGTCCCGATACTGGGTATGTCGAATCGTAGGACTCCCACGTGAGGTGCATGGGACTGATCTATTATTGTTCTAGACAACACTGTTGAAGGAAACAAGGCTTTATGCATGAAGGCGCACTCGTCAGATACATGAGTTGCAGCGTGAGAGTGTCGGCTCCCGCACCCGAATACTGAGGTAAAGCGCCAGCGACGGGGAGGTTCGCCCCACAATGTTTCGATGGCAGCCACGTGACCGTCCTGACTCGGTCGCAGCTGCCCGCTCCCCACGAGCCACCCGCCCCTGTGAATGCAGAAAGCGGGAGCCCGTCATTGCATGACATCAAGAGTTGTAGCGGTATAAACTCATGGAGTTCTTCAACATATCTTCACATGGAAATTTCTCATTAATTAATCTGCACTGCTACATTCCACCTGTCAGGTATTGCCATAAAGCGCCGTTGCCCGCTTCAGATTGTAACTGCCGAAGGCTGGGGCCCTCTGTGTGGCCGATCCGCCTCACTGGCTCGGACTGGCAGGTTTGACGTTGTCTCTAGCAAACGACTCCTTCTCGATGGCCGCTTCCATCATTCGGTCTCCGCTAATAATCGATGTTGTGCAGATGACGATGTTCCTTCGTGCTGCGGTCACACTCAAGTTAGTTTGCGACTCAATTAGAGTGGGCTCGGCATGGCACATACCTTCTTCCTGCTTCGCAATGAACCGCAGAGCAGCGATCTCTGTGAACGTGATGCCTCCAACGAACACCACAAATACCGTCTGCTTCTCGGTTCCTCCGGAGAGGAGCGCGCGAGCCTTGACGGCCTTTTCTTCGCCCTTTTGCAGTTCATAGAACGTCTGGCCGCGCACATGCTTCACGGCTTCGTCGAATCCATGCCAGCCTTGTGCAGCAGATGATCCTGTTGCACCGCTTGCGCCGTTTCCTCGGGTGACTTGAAGCAGGTACTGCTTTTGTAGGACGCATTGGACGAGTCGAACCGAGAGCGGTGCGTACCCGCTGTACACATAAGCGATATCGTTCGGGTCGTCTTCCTTGACTTCGTCAACAATGAGTCGTAAGAGCTTCCGAAGATAGGCGTAGTTGGTCTTCGTTCCTGTGTTGCTACCTGTCGCTCCGGTCATTGGTATCATCTCTGCCAATGGCGACGAGCGTGACAAGAACAGTTGGAGCTTCTCCAGGTTGTTTAGGGTCAAGATATGCTGATACCCGTATCCTTCCAGAATCAGGCGCCGGAACTGGTCGAATTCCTTGGGCTTGATTCCGCCAGATATACATGAATATATGCAAAGCAGCCTCAAAACCTCTGGCAAGGGTGTGTCGCGTGCGATCAGCTCTTCTATGGCCTCGAACTGAGTGGATGGATCCGCTCCAGCAGCTAGGTTCTGTTGGGCCTCCAACAGGCCTTTGAACTGGTCTGTTCTTGTGTACTTGATAATTTCCTCTGCTAAGCCCGTGTGAATCCTCAAGCTCTGTTGCTCGGCCTGGTAGCCAGGCAATTTGCTGACGAAGTCTTTCAGCTCGGCAATAGACTTTTGACTGTTTCGTCCCTCGTAGTCCTTTTGTAGGTTTTGCAGTCGGCGAGCAACCTTGTTCAACAGGCTTCCAACAATTGCGAAATTGGTGTGCCGGAGCTGTTCGTAGAGCTTGTCGGAGGAATCCAGCTGAATCTTACGTTTCCTTGCTTGAGCGCTGGCCGTCGATGACTGCGATGGGGCGCCAACTACGGTAGTATCGACCTCGGCCTGGTTGTTTTGAATGCCGAACACTTCGTCAATCAGTCCCTCGTATGTCAATTGGGTGAGGAGGGGAGTGACAAAGTCAACCTCGCGGTCGATGATAATGACGCTTTCGGTCAAGGTGCTCGGGGTGAGGCCGGCTCTCGTCGCTTCACTCGCGTCTTCGCCGGCGAGGATTTCTTGTCGCATGCGAGCGAGGAGCTCGGCTACTCGTTTCGCGTTGTCGCCTTTACCAATTATACGCGGGAACAAGCCATGATTCTGTTGGATTTCCATCAAAGCCTTGGCGAGGAGGAATGATGGTGTGACATCTTTCGACAGGTAGAGATCGCGGAACGAGTCGTCTAGTTCTAGTGAGAGAACGTCTTTCTCCAGCGGGAAGAAGTAGAGGGGAAGCTCCGAGATGTTGACATCTCCAAGGACGCCGGCCTCTTCGAGAAGCTTGTCTGATACGAGCGTCCGCCGGGGCACCCAGAAAATGTGAAAGTCGTGGCCCGTCTGACTTTCACGCTGTAGCCGTCGGATCTGCTCTATCAGGATGTCAGTACTACTCCAGCGACTGCCAGCCGAGACATGAGTTTCGCGAGTTAAGGTCGGTCCTTGATCGGTTACGACGATAGATATCGTGCTTGACACAGTGACTTTCTGTGCATAATATAGTAATGGAATGTGGAAGTCGCTGACCTGCTATCGTTTGCGCATGACGCGCGCATTCGCCTCGAGCTATAAAGATGACATTTCGCTGACTGGTGTCGGCGTTCTGGTTCTCAAGGAAAAAGAACTTGTCGACTCCGTACTCCTGAAGCGTCGCGACCTTCACAATAGTGCCGATGGGGCCGGCTAAGCTGCGCTCAAGGATGAGGTTCTTCTTTCCACGGACCTGGTTGCGTCGGCGGGTTAGCTCGGAGACGGCATGCAATCAAGCGCTCTGAAATGCCTTACTTACAGCCTCGAGCAGGTAAAGGAGGTCCTTTCTAGCTTTGTCCTTTATCTGGTCCGTGTTGAAGCTAGCTCGAGGGGCCATTTTGAGCTCTCCATGCGTTTGGGAGCTGGTTGTTGGTGGCAGCTGCAGACTGACCGCTGCTCGCTGAGTGAAGTGTTGACGGGGAAGAAGCTGGGCGGGTAGTGAGCTCTGGAGCTGTACCGGCACGAGATTAGATTGACCGGACGTGGGCTGAGCAGCACGGGGCATCCACGTAGCTCATCGTGTTGCGTCAGCGGGGCTTCAGGAGGCAACTGCGGCGCATGATTTCCCATGTTGCGCTATCGGGTCTCAAGACGCACCCGTTCAGTGCCTTATCGAAATGTTCTAGCGGGGCAGCCACAGCGAGGTCAAGGCCTGAGGTACCTTTACGGCCCGCCATTGGAGTCGGGTGCCTCGTCTCAAGTGGAAACGCAAAAACCACGGCGATCACAGATCCCCAGTTGCATTGTGAACAAGGTGCAGCAAGCAGAGGAGGCCTGCTAGTATCCTGTATGGCTTTTCCTATTGCTTCTTTATTCTCTGCGGGGAAAACCCCGCCATCTCATGTGTAAATCACAGCAGAGGCCCATTCCGCTTGAATGGCTAACCTGCTGTCCATACCGCGACAGATCATCGCGGGCGCCATGTGCTACTCCCGCTCTGCCTTTGCGAGTAATATTTCCGGGCGCTCTCTTTCGCCCTCTCCCGCTCTGATGGCGCTCCATGAATATTGAAGAAGGCCAAACACCGCGCTGGTATATTTCTTCTGCTTCGCGCAGACGACCGACCCAATACAGTCAATCAGCCGTCCCAGATATCCCAAGCCAAATCCAAACGCCGTAAGACTCCACTACACAAGACGCCATCGTTCATCAAACGGTGTTGTCATGGTAGTAGAAGTCAATGTCTCTTGGTCGGAGGCGGTTGCTCCGCACGAACTCGTCATCACCAGCGGGTCGCTCATTCTTCTCGTTTCCGGTCAACATGCTTTGTATGCTCATGCAGACACTCTCTACGTTTTGTACGGGACTCCAGCCCTGGTTTCCGAGAAGGTCCAGGCAGATAATGCCGTTGGAATATATGTGGGGATGCATTGGGATCGGTCGCTCGGTTGTTTTCACGAACGTGACCTCCGGAGGTTCTAAGGAGTTGGTCAGCTAGGCCACCTTGAAACAGGCAAGGGCGCACGAAGGGCGCATACCAATAGGGTACTGTTGAGAGAATTTAAACTTGAGTCTGTAGACCTCGTTGCGATACAGCGGATTGTCGTCGAGGACCCTGATATCCATATGCCACTCCTCGAAGTTGTCGGCGGATATGAGGTCAATGCCAGGCGGTAGACCGGTATTGAGCTGTAATAAATGTCAGAAGAATTCATTCGCACGGCGCAAGCCGCTGAAAAGAAGCCCAAGGTTCGATCGTGGTGCTTCGATAGGAAACCGACCTTGGAAAGCTCTTTAGCCAGTCGCTTGGATGCAAAGCTTGAGGCCATTTTGAAGCGCAAAGCCGACAAAACCAGGGCAGACCAGAATGTCGCGAAGGAAGGAAGGCGAATCAAAGCAGTGTTCGAGAGAGAAAGGTTGACGGCGCCAGGCGACGGAAGAGTGGCAGTCGACAGCGCGACGGACACGGGTTGGATGCTGGCCGCTGGAGGGGCTTGTTGGAGGGGCTGCCCAGTTGGACCCCACGATTTCGGTGTTTCCCGCCGAGAACAGCAAAAAAAGAGAGACGACCTAGGTAGCACCTCCGAAAAAGTGAGCGCGGGAATGCGGGCTGCACCGAACCGAACTGGGACAGGTTGGTCAGGTCTGGCCCTGTATCCGGAGCCGTCTTGACGAGTGCAAGTATGAAGTAGTTCGATAACAGAGCCAGTCGAGCGAGAGGAAAAAGATGAAGTGAAGTGGGATTAACACAGAACGTTAAAGTGCTGAGGCTTTGGGGTCGGCCGAGTTCCGCCAGCCGATGTACATACCAAGTGCGGCAAGGATGGAAGGGCAGGCGCGTTTAGAGTAGGAGGAAATGGAGACGGCACTTACCTAAGACTGCCTAGGTAAGTAAGCTACCTGTAGCAGCCCTCGAGGTCTGAGAGTCGCTTGTTGACGCTGCGGGCAGAGTCAATTCGCTGGCTACCTTGTGCTATTTGCTTGTGTTTGCTACATCCGTCCAGCCAGCGGAGAAGGTCGGCGGCTGCATCACTGTTCATGCATCTCGACCGATGCGCGGACAGCACCCCACTCCCCGGGCACTTCATTCATTGCTGGGTAGCACTGGTGCACACTCACGCTCCGGGTGGAGTCATTGACAGTGCTGCTCCGTCACTGGCCAAACCAATTCAGTTCCAAACATCTCCAAACCACCGGGCCAACTCTGGAGCTGTGCATCTGATCGCCGCGTCGAGTGCCCAGGAGCCGAAACATTCATTTGAGCGGAAGCGCTCGCGTGTAACGACCGTTTTTGTTCTTTGAACTCTCATCGTAAGAGAACGAATTGTCTGAACAACATAAAAACTATGCAACATGCTTCATGACCCGCCGTCCGCCTGACAATTTACCCACGCATGCTCTGGCAGACGACGGATAGAGTACAGCATAGAGATACCTCATATTTCTGACAGACTCAGTCCATACGTCTTATTACGTCACGCGCATGCTCAAGCAGGGGACCTGGGCCAAATAAACATGTGACGAAGAGGCGAGCAACCAGCATCGACAAGTTAAACTGGCGGGACGTCCCTTTCGCACAGAGCAAGTGTTTTGTCTTGCACCTTCGTCGACGCAAAGTCAAAGGGCGGCTGACTTTGCGCCGAAGTACCCAACATACTTCTGCGAAGCTGCGAAAGAGCCTTCGGTAAAGTCTGACTCGGCATGGGAGGCATAGCGCCTTTGCGGCCAGCACTTCCCGTGTGTGGGGGCCAGAACACAGATTGAGATGCAGATTGTAACGGGGAGCTTATTGCCTGCTACCTAGGCATCCTTCCATTCTCGATGAAGTCGACAGACACATGGCCAACCTGCGGGGAGGAGAATCGGCCTCATGATCAGACGCGATACCTGGGTCGCTGTGTGGCTTTGCTGGCTGGAGATGTTTGGACGACACTGTAGGCTCTGACTTACAGTCCAGAGCTGGTGGATGTGTGATTCACATCATGGAGCCCGATGGTGACTCTGGCTTGCCTTCATCCAAAGATGTCATTGCTGAAAAGTCCATCTTACTCTTACTGCCTCGATGGGCCTAGCCTCCAGCCTTACGACCCATACGGCACCTCCTCCGTCGGATGGTCCTTCGCTGCTGTGGCTGTGAAAATGTCATTGGGCGAAGAGCGGCCTCCCCAGCCACAATACACCCCAACCAGTACCTATCCCTCTGCGTTTTCTCTCCCCAAACTCCTCACGGCGACCCGGCCACTCTCGTTCAGCATACGAAGGCCCACAAGGACCCCGTCAATTGTGCAGGCAGGCCTGGCCTGGCCAAGTTTCCTGTCGCCTGTAGGCAATCCGCTCATCACGGCCATGTCCGTGCTTCCCTCCTCCTGCCCCTCATTTTGTGCGGCTGAGCATCCTTCTAATTCTCACCAGCCCACAAGGCTCACTCCATCCGTCTTGCCGTGGCCCCTGGCTGCTAATTGCTCCTTCACTTGCGATGAATTGTGATGTGGTGATTGAAGTGCCGTATGGCTGCCTCCAGACCCAGAGCCTGCTCAAAAGGCAATGTCTCGGTTCTTACTGCGGGCTTGACTACTCAGCCAGTGAAACCATCATCCCACGCCTTTGCTGCCCAGCAGAGAGTATCTATCTTATCAACGAGGATTGCCTACCTACCGTACCCGTACCCGTACCCTAGTAGCTACCGGTTTCTTAGGGTGAAAAGGACCCCCAAGGACCGCTGTTTTTTTCTGGCCTGTGAAGCTCACATCACATCCTCCACTGCTTCTTACTTCCCGCGCTACTACCCCACTTCACCCCTCAGCCCAGGAGCTACCAGTACCACCAGTACCAGGCAACGGCACCCTCGCCCCGACTGGACCCCCCCTTCCCTCCAGCCAAGTTCTCCATCCAGCATCTCGTCTACTCCTCTGGCCAGCGTAGGGTTCGAGCCTGATCCGACGGTTGCTCGATTTTCCTCCTTCTTTCTGTCAGCCTCGAGGGTCCCTCCCAGAAGCGCCTGTTTTTACCCGTCTCCTCGCCGCTCAACTCTGCCATCTTCGAAGCACTCCTGTTGTCCCCGCGTCTCGTCCGACCGACCGATCACTGTTCCCACTCGTTCCTGCCCACAATCTTCGCCCAAGATGAGTTGTGAGTCCTGCTATTCCATGCCCGCTTGAGGTAGGCTGCGATAGGACGATCTGATCGCCTTGAGCGCCCCTCCAAGCCTGCTCCCCCACAGATTGTCGCACGCAGATTGCGTCAGGCATGTGGCCCAAATGACCAGCGATTCTAACCTTTGAATGCATACCAGTCTCGAACATGCTCAGTAGACTCCAGGGTCAGCCTGAAAGCTATGATAAGAAGTGCGATTCCGTCAATCGATTCCCTCCGTATACCCACATCCTAACGTCCTTTACAGGGCGAAATATCGCTTCGGCCGCACCCTTGGTGCCGGTACCTACGGTATCGTCCGTGAGGCAGACGGTCCCACCGGCAAGTGCGCCGTCAAGATCATTTTGAAGAAGAACGTCAAGGGCAATGAGAGAATGGTGTACGATGAGCTCGACATGCTCCAGCGTCTCAAGCACCCCCATATCGTCAAGTTTGTCGACTGGTTCGAGTCGCGTGTAAGCAGCCCCGCGCCTCGCTGTGTCAGTACTGGACACTCGACTCTGACATTACCTTGCAGGACAAGTACTACATCGTAACTGAATTGGCTACTGGCGGAGAGCTTTTCGACCGTATTTGCGAGCAGGGAAAGTTCACGGAAAAGGATGCGTCGCAGACCATCAAACAGGTCCTTGAGGCCGTCAACTATCTGCACCAGAACAACGTCGTTCACAGAGGTAGGCTTTGGCCCTCAGCTATGCGACATTCGCCGCGCTAACATCAGAGACAGACTTGAAACCTGAGAACCTGCTTTACCTGACCAGGGACATTGAGTCCGATCTTGTTCTTGCCGATTTCGGCATTGCCAAGATGCTCGATCGCAAGGACGAAGTCCTCACGACTATGGCTGGCTCCTTCGGCTACGCCGCCCCCGAAGTCATGCTTAAGAAGGGTCATGGCAAGCCCGTCGATATGTGGTCCATGGGCGTCATCACATACACCCTTCTCTGCGGTTACTCGCCGTTCAGGTCTGAGAACCTTCAGGACCTCATCGACGAATGCAGCAACGCCCAAGTAGTCTTCCACGAGCGTTACTGGAAGGACGTGAGTGACGATGCCAAGGATTTTATCCTGCATCTGCTGCAGCCCGAGCCAGTGAAGCGTTGGTCCAGTGAGGTATGAGGCAACTGAGGTCCCTTACCCAGAGGCGAAAGAAACTGACAGGAAACACAGGAGGCTCTGCGCCACCCCTGGCTCAGCGGAGAGAACGCCACCGACCACAACTTGCTGCCTGAGATCAAGGCTTACATGGCCAAGGCCAGGCTCCGTCGTGGTGTTGAGATGGTCAAGCTCGCGAACAGAATTGAGTTACTTAAGACTCAGGAAGACGACAAGGATGACTCCGACTTCCCGGTCGACGCCGTCAGCGCCGCCGACCAGGCCAAGGGCCACCACACAGAAGGCGGCGACAAGCGCAATTTGTCCAGGACAATCAAGACTGCCATCTTCCGTGAGGTTGTCTTGGCCAAGGTCCGCGAGATGAAGCAGCAGCAGGATACCCTCAAGGTGAAGGAGGAGGCGGAGAAGGAGCACAGGAGACGCAGTTTCCAGGGTTAAGATGCACTGGCCGCCCCTGCACTTCCCTTGGGGGTAAAGGAGGATGGGTCTGTAGAGCGCCCAAGATGATACCACGGGTTGGGTTGAGACAGCGAGCCGTCTGATGGCGGTTCGACAGCGGCTTCGAGGCTCTTGTTTGCTTCGTCTTGTTGCGTTATTTTTGTATGCGCGCACCGTTCATTTCAGGCCGGGCAGAGTCCAGATCTGAGTCGTCTTTGATTTCCGTTCTTTGCTGGAGGAAGCAGGGAGGACATGAAAAGCAGCGAGACATCATTTGGTTGATAGCAGTCTACTTATTGCGATTTTCTACCAGCGGAATTATACAAAGATTCTACGCCGTAACTGTACAGAAGATTCCGTGGCATAAAGCATCCGATGCAGCTCTTTAGATGACAGCGTCTGACCGTGAGTCCAAGCTCGAGCTTTTGGACGACACTCGCACGTTCCGGGTAGCTCAGTCATCGAAATGATACTTCATATGATTACGAGGGGGACAGCGAGATGTTCAAGATTAACTGTGCAAGTTGGCATTGCTAGCTACTGCTTGAAGACAGAGGAACCCATTTTCGGGCCCAACTCTGGTGACTACCTAGTAAAATATGGTGGTTGGTTGATCGTAACA